GATTTTGCACGGTGGGGGGCTCTGAAGAAACAATGCGCAGGGGTTCAGGAGGCCGGGGATGTCAGGCGTGGTGGGGGTTGGTCCCGGGGCGGATTTTGCAGGATGGGGGTCCTTAAGGAACGATGCGCAGGGGTCCAGGAGGTTAGACATGTCAGGCGTGGTGGGGACCGCGGCGGATTTTGCAGGATGGGGCGTCTTTAATGAACGATCCGCAGGGGTCCAGGAGGCTGGAGATGTCAGGCGCTGTGGTTGAAGGGGGGGGTCCGGGGATGGTTTTTGCAAGGTGGGGTGTCTTAAAGAAACGATGCACAGCCAGGAGGTTGGGGATGTCAGGCGTGTGGGGGCGGCGTGCCCGGGCGGATTTTGCAGGGTAGGGGGTCTTGAAGAAACGATGCGCTCGGGTCCAGGAGGCTGGGGATGTCAGGCGTGGTGGGTGGGGGTCCTTGGGCGGATTTTGCAAGTGGGGGGGATCCAGGGCGGATTTTGCACAGTGGGGGGTCCTGAGGAAACGGTGCACAGGGGTCCAGGAGGTCGGGGATGTCAGGCATGGCGGGAAGGGGGTCCCAGGGCGGATTTTGCAGGGTGCGGGGTCCTTGAGAAACGATGCGCAGGGGTCCAGGCTGGGGGTGTCAGGCGTGGTGGGGAGGGTCCCGGGGCGGATTTTGTAGAGTGACAGGTCCTTAGAAACGGGTCCAGGAGGCTGGAGATGTCAGGCGGGGTGGGGGGTAGTCCCGGGGCGGATTTTGCAGGTTGGGGGGTCCTTGAGAAACGATGCGCAGGGGCCCCAGGAGGCTGGGGATTCAGGCGTGGTGGGGGCGGTTCCGGGTGGGATTTTGAAGGGTGGGGGGTCTTGAAGAAACGATGCAGAGGGGTCCAGGAGGGGAGGTAGGGGGAATATGGTAGCACACGGGGTGGGCGTTTCAAACGGCATTCCTTGTTTGGAAGGGAGATGCAGGATGAGGCTCTGGGGAGAGGGTTGAAGGATAAGATTGTAAGGAACAGTGCCAATGAAGTTGTTAAAATCATAGAGGAAAGCGAACCTTGGGAACAAATGAAAAAGCTAAGGCTTTCGAGGTCCCGTTGTTTTTCCACCGAGAAACCAAACATCCGAACAAGCCGAACACCAGACACAAAACAACAACACATAATACAAAAAAATAGAGCATCGACGCAACCATTGCTTTCATACATATAACATAGTATGTAGGTATGTATGTCTGTATGCATGCATGTATGTATGTACGTATGTATGCATGCATGTATATATATATGTATGTATATATATACATGTATATATATATATATATAAAAATAAAAGGGGCATCGTAAGCGAAGCCGTGTTTTTCATGTGTTTTTGTGTGTTTGTCGTTACCTTTCTGATCTTTCCTTTAGATTCCAACGGTTTCTGTGATGTTTTCACGGTTTTCGGTATTTGTTTCTTGATATTCTTCTTACACAAATCGCGAAAATGTTGGACCTGTTGATAGAAATCAGAAACAACCCGAACATCGGTGGAAAATAGCTGGACATCCGTGACAACCGCAGGGACCATTTTTAATGTTTGAAATCCGGAAGAAGTAAGCGACACCTTGGTTTTGGATGTTCGCCCCCAGATTTGTGACATACATGTATATAAGATTGAGCATGTTTTTTTGTCTGATGCTTCAAGTTCTTTGCCTTTCTGATTTTCTGTGAAAGTTTTGGTCCCGTTGATTTCCCATATGGTAGACGTTTCCCGTATGTCTGGATTGGGTCCTTCGCTTTTCCTTCTGCTTCTCTTTTTTGCCTGCTCTCCTCCCCTCCCTCCACTGTTTTCGTTCCATTACTACCATCGCATCTGCATTGTCTCGTTCTTCCATTGTCGCGATGCAGATTTGAACTTCGTTTGCTTGCAACCGGATGCAAGTTTGCAGAGGTGCTTTTTCCAGGGGAGGGGTCCTGGAGGACAGAGTCCTCGCTTCCGAGGCCTCGCGGAGCATGAATAACTCCAGCTGTTGTTGCTCGTCTTCGCACCGGTACAATCATCCCTAATATCATTCCGATCGCTGCTCTCACTCATCATCATCCGTACCCTCCTCATCGCATCTCCATTATGGAAGGAAGAGAGAGGCTCAGAGGGGGAGGCGGAGTGATCTGATGAAGACGAGGAGGACTTGCAGGACGATGGGGTTCAGGAGTTGTTCATCTTTCTTCTGCTGCCTCCAAAATCATAGCACCACCCTCTTTCTATCATTCCTGCCCCTCCTCCTAGCCCTCCCGTCGGGGGAGAAGAAGGGGGGGGGCAGTGGTTACATCCCTGAGCCCCCTCCCTCTCCTTCTATTGTCTTCTACCCTACTCTGACCACACCTGTTCCTCCACCTCCCCGCGAATTATCATCCCTCCGTCTCCCATCCTCCTCCTCCGCCTCCCAGAGTCGAGGGGGCAGGGGTGAGCCGCCCTGCGGCGCGGATTGGGCGTGTGGCGTGTCCTCAGGTCCCCAGCCTCCGTCTCCTCCTCCTCCTCCTCCTCCTCCACAATTACACAATATGAAAATACTCTCCCACTTCCCCTGATGGCGTCCGGAAGATATTCGGCACCCCCCCGCGTACTGTTTTTTTACACACAGGATTCCCCGGAGTTGGGTTTTCGCTTGTGTTTTTTTTTCTAAAATGCTGCTCTCGCTGAGGCGCCGGCCTCATTTCTGCTCCCGAATCGTTCCGAATCGTGCTCCCGCTGCAGCGTGGGCCTCATTTTCGGATCGGTGTTTGGCCTCCGTCGTTGAGGATGGCGTTCTCGCCCCAGCGCGGGCCTCTTTCTCGCGCGCCCATCCCCGCCACCACCGCGCCTCCCGCCCCACCACCACCCACCACCACCACCACCACCACCACCACCACCACCACCAGCCACCAGCACCAGCACCAGCACCAGCACCAGCCACACACCACCACCAGCACCAGCACCCACCACCACCACCAGCACAGCCACCACCACCACCACCACCACCACACCACCACCACCACCACCACCACCACCACCACCACCACCACCACAACCACGCACACACGCACGCACGCACGCACGCGCACCACCACCCACTACGCACGCGCGCGCGGAGCCACAGGTCCGCTACGACACGCGTCCGCGGATAGAGAAAATCAGCGCCATGGTAAGGGATGGGAGGGAGGGGTAGGACGTCAGATATGACGCGAGCGCACCTAGCTTGTCCTCCTCCCCTCCCTCCCTCCCTCCCTCCCTCCCTCCCTCCCTCCTTGGACTCAACTCTGAGGAGTCATTGCGGGGCCGGAACCACCGTTGCCAAATCTCTCGGGCGCTCGGAGTCCCTCGGGCCTTGTCGCGTCTTCTCGCTTGATTTTTGGAAGAGCCATTCCGGGGCGCCCCTCGCGAGGGTCGTGGTCCCCAGGGGGTACCCGAACTCTGGGGAGGGCTATTTTTCGAGACCCCTCCTGAGGATCGTGGCCTCCGCCGTTCCTTGCCACTTCTTGCATGTCCTCGGGGAAGGCATTTGCCCGACACCGCTCGCGAGGGTCGCGGCCTCCGGGGGGCGGGAGGGGAGGGCGCAACCGAGCGCCCCCTGCCACCCCCGCGCCAAGAGGCCCCCGAGGGGCGCCCGAGACGTCGCCAAGGAGTCCCAGGAGGTCCTCAAGAGGCGCCCAAGAGGCCCCGAGCCTGACCCCAAGAGGCGCCCAGAGGCTGCGAACCTGCCTGCCGGAGGCCCCACAGAGGCCACAGATGCCGACCACGAGCCCCCAACCAACATCCATGAGGCCTCTGACCCATCGCCCAGTCACGGCGGCGGGATATGCCGAAGGCAACTAGATATGATGATGATGATGATAATGATTGAGGGGAACAAGAGGGCGGGGAGGAGGAGGACAGGATGGGGAGCGGGATGACGAGGTGGGGGATAGGAGGAGGATGAGGAGAAGGCAGACGTGACTCATAAGCACCCCCCCTCCCATCCATAATCCCCCTGCAGGGCGGACTCAATGAACGCCGCGAGAAAAATATTGGGATACATAGTATCGCATCATCATCAACATCATCATCACACCCATCGTCATCGACCTCATCAACGTTGTCATCGCACCTATCGTATCAGCTTCGTCATTTCCGTTCTCGGAGGAAAAACAAAACCTATACCGCCCTATTCCCTTGCTCTCCCAGGAAAGCGGGGGTGCCGTGCGTGGAGGGGGGGGGGTCCCAAGGCGGATTTTGCAGGGCGGGGTGCTAGGAAGTTTGTAGTTTTACTATGATATATGATGATATCAAACTATAATCAGACTGTTCGGGCGAAGGCCCGAAATCCTGTAGCCCTTTGCTGCTCAAGAAAAAGAGCAGCCCTCTTCCCCCCACTTTCCGCGACGGGGGTCGGGGAGCGCGTGCGTGGTAGCGGAGCTCGCTTGAGGTGCGCGGGCCAGTTCCGCACCCGGCGAGCTCCAGGAACCCTTCGAGGGGGCCCAGCGGCGGCGCGCCGCGGGTCCAGCGGCGGAAGGCAGCGGAAGCAGCCGCGGGACGATCCGCCCTGCTAGCAAGCAGGGTACCTTTTGTTGGCCAGAGCTGCGGGAGGACCCGCGCCCTGGCAAGGAGGTCAGAACCAGGGTTCGACTCCAGCCTTCGAGCGAGTTCAAGGCCAAGGTTGCGAGCAAGCTCAAGGCCAAGAAGGCGAACGAACGCGGTGGCAGAGCCCCAGAGTCGAGGGCCCACCGCCAGAACCGAGGGAGCGCCCGGCGGAAACTGGCCGAGTGCGGCGACGTGGCTCAGTTTACGGAAGGGGAGTGAGCAGCGGTGAAGCGACAGCTCGCGTTCGATTTCCAGCGCCAGGCGAAGGCCGACAAGGGCGATGGGAGGTCAAGCGCGAAAACTGGTCGAGCACGTGCAGAGGCTGACGACGGTGAGTCAACAGGTGCGGACGGAGCCTCAGCAGCGAGATCTAGCGATGGCCGGGATGCGAGGCCACCATCAGGGATAAGCCGACAAAGTTCTAGTGCTTCGTGGTGAGATGATGGACCCGAAGATCCTTCACAAAGTGATGCCGTTCGACGGTCAGAGAGCGAGCTGGAAGACGTTCGGCTTCCAGTGCAGAACCTACCTGATCGCGCAAGGCAGAAGGTATCGACGTCTTCTCGAGAAGTGCGAAGACGGAGCGCAGGATGTAGACAACGTGAACTTGTCAGCCCAAGAGGAGGAGCTCAGCACGCAGCTGTACTTCGCCCTGGCCCTCGTCATGCCTGAGGGCTCGGCGGGCGAGATGATCGTGGGGGACAGCAGCTCGGGCGAAGGGGCGGCGCCCTTGAGGAAGCCGCAGAAGGAGTACAACCCGAACGAAGCAGGCAGCGTGCTAGCGATGTGGACCAAGCTTAAGGGCACGAAGTTCGAGGCAAACGACGACGCCATGGTGAGCATCAGCAAGCTCGACGAGGACATGACGAGGTGCCAGAATATGTCGGGCTGGCCCGTGTCGGACCTCATCGAGCGAGGAATCCTCACCGAGGCGCTCAAGGAACACGACGAGTTGCAGAAGCACGTGTTTCGGATTTGCTGTCGGCTGAACATGCGCGAGCTCCTGCGAGCCGAAGTCGCGTCGGCGCCGGCGGCGGAGCGAGCGGTCGACGACGATCCGATGGGCATCGGCGGGTTGAAGGGCGGCAAGAAGCTGCGGAGAGGCCGCGGCGAGGGCAAGGGGGGCAAGGGCAAGGAGGGGCCGCCGAACTCCGACGCCGACCTCGCGCACAAGAAAGGCCACCGCAGGTACTGTCGCAAGAAAGGCCTTCGCACACGAGAGGAGTGCAAGTGCTGTCGCAAGAGAGGCCGCCGCAGCGCCAACTGCCGCGAGCGGGTAGCCAAGGAGAAGCAGGCAGCCGCCTGCAACGACAACACGGACAAGAAGCAGCACAGAAACGAACAGGTCAAAGGGAAGAAGAGGGTCGCAGGAGGGGCAGTAAAAGAGCTCGAGAGATTGCGACGAGCAGGAGTGGCCCCAGCGACAGGGTCGACGGCGCCCACGCAGCCTCTGCTAGGGGCGCACAGCAGCGCCGACAGCGCAGCGACCCTGCCAGTCTGCAGAGGGATGCAAGCGAAGATGATTCTGGCCCTGAGGGCCCGAGACCACAGGATCGACTGGAAGTGCACCTTGCCCTCCTACGAAAAGTACACACGCAGCTCGCGCAAGAAGCTGCTCGAGGGCAGAACGTGGCATTGCCGCGAGTGGAATGTGGACTTCTGCGAGACGTGCGCAGAATACTGCCTGGACAAGCACGAGTCTCGAAGTTCGATTAGCGGAGAATGTAGCTGCTGCGAGTCAGCCGCGGTAGAACCCGCGCTGCCAGCTGCGGTCGGGCCCGCGCTGCCCGAGGTCGGAGGCCTACGTGGGCAGGTGCCGGAAGACGACCGACTGCGGTTAGCCCCGCTTCGGAATGCCATCGCGCTCGACTCAGGCGCGCAGGTCAGCGCAGCGCCGAGGAAGCAGGTGGCCAAACACAAACTACAAGCCGACGGACAGCAACGTCGTTGGCTTGAAGGGTATCGGAGGCGAGGAGGTCGAGAGGCGCGGCCATGCGGAGCGTGACCTGTCCAGAGGAGGAGAGGCCCTCCAAGTTGGCGCGGAAGTTGCCGACGTGGAGCACCCCGTTGTGGCCACATGCGGTAGTGCAACGAGGCCAGAGCGTTCTCCATAGCCCTGCAGGTTACTGGATCATCACGGCACCATCGAGTCACACGATGGAGCTGAGTTCGTTTCTCTACGACGTCATCAGGCCAACTATTATACATTTTGAATGCGATCACATCATGGACGGCAAGACCCAACCAGGTGCCGCGCAGGTAGCAGCAGCGAGGAAGACGCTGCCGCGGAACGTCCCAGCTGAGCAAGCAGCTGGATCTTTGCAGAGGGTTCTCGGCCCAGAGGCGGACGAGACTACGACTGCGCCGGCGGGTGCTGAAGTCACCATGCCAGTCTAGTGCTGCGGAGAGGGCCGCGCGCGAAGGGCATCGCCTCCCTGCTCGCCCTTCGTGTCCACTGTGCGTGGAAGCTCGAGCGGACGACGATCCGCACTGCGTGCAGGAGCCAGCTGGCGAGAAGCAGGTGCCGAAGGTGGTGTTCGACATCTTCTACGTCGGGACTGACCAGCTGGCGGCTAGGCACAAGCTCAAAGGAGGCCGATTCAGCTGTGAGAAGCCGCTGGTAACGAAAGCAGATCTAGAACAGGCGATCTCAGTTCTGAACGCGATCGCTTGCGAGATCCTGGCGCAGGCGACGCTGTGTGCTAACAGAGATTTTGACGACTACACGGGGGCCCTTCCTGATAGCTGTGCTAGAAGTCTGGGGTCGCGCGACAGTTGTGCTCCAGACAGACCAGGGGCCTGCCGCGATGGCCCTGGCAAATGCAGTTCGAGATCGCAGGTCTCGCTCTACCTTGGTGCGGGTATCACCGCCTTTGTCCCTGCAGAGTGCTGGCTGCGCCGAGGGTGCCAACGAGCTTGCAGCAGGCTTGCCGCGGACCTCCTACAAGCTGAAGCTGAAGCGCAAGCTGGGGCGCGACATCGAGATGACGGATCCGATCGCGCCTTGGCTCGTTATGCCGGCGGGCTGGATTATCACACCAGGCTTCAGCCGCGAAGCCATGGGGGGTCTTCCCACGAGATGCTGCACGGCAAGGAGTACACTTGGGAGATCTCGGAGATGGGCGAGCAGGTCTGGTATCGGATCTCAGCCCGAGTTGCTGCTGGACGCGGCAAGTGGGAGGCCAGCTTCGCCAAAGTGATCTGGGTTGGAAAGCGAGTTGGGCGGCGCTCACCTCGTGATCGGCCCAGAGCGCGGCGCGCAGAAGGTCGGGGCCGCGCGGCGGATGCCGGAGGAGTTTAGGTGGCAGCCTGAGCTCACCCAGAACATCAGGGCGACGCCGTGGAAGCACATCCTTGACAAGAGTGCAGGACCCATCGGACGCAGCATGTACACCACGCAGCGCACGATCAACGCTCGCGGCCCGACCGGCGACGGCAGGACATGCAGCGCTGGATATGGATCGCATTCGGCAGCCTGCCGTCGGCGGTTCGAGACAATCCAGGCCGAACTCCTGCGCGAGAAAAAGGAAAAGGACCCTGTGGCCCCAGACCAGAGGCTACGGCGGCGGTGCCAGCCGCTGCTGCGGGCCCCCCCGCGCCTGGAGCAGCGGCTGGACCAGCGGCGGCGTCGAGCAGCAACGAGGCAGCGGTAGCGCCCGCACCTGCTGCAGAAGACGCGGTTATGCCTCCTGTCCCGGGAGAGGCAGAAGCACAGACAGCCACGCAGACGGAACCTGACCATATCAGGAGCGACTCCCAGAGAGGCGCCTCGGGAGAGCCGAGGGCCGAAGTGGGGGTCAAGATGCCGAGAGTAGCAACCATATGTGTGCTCTCTGTCTGCGAACTGGCAGTCTGCGGGGAAGGCAACGACGAGACTTTCGACCCGATGCGGGATCCACACCCGAAGCGAAGTTCAAGATGATCGGACAGGTGTGAGAAGCATTTGAGATGCCAGCTGAGGGAGCGCCACCGAGGCGAGCGCGCATGCAGGCGCTGCCTGATGAGCCACATCGGCACGATCAGGAGTCACTTAGGATAACCTGACGAGGAGCAGATCGAGCAGATGGTTGAGGTCAGCGCCGAGTTACAGGAGCACGACCAGTGGGGCCCAAAGACGGCACACTACGAAAACTACACTGCAGAGCCCTTGGACGAGGATCTGTACCAGAAAGGTCGCGACGACCAGCTTCTGGCCATGAAGGACTACGGAGTTTACGTGGAGGTGGCGACGTCGACGGCGACCGACGGCAGCATGTCGGAGGTTTCCCCATTGCCCATCAGAAGGAAGGCGGAGTCAGGTGGAGGTTCGTGGCGACCGAGATCAACAAGCACGAGGTGCGCGAGGAGAACCACCAAGGCACGCCGCCGCTCATGATTGCAAGGGAGACGCTAAGCCAGGCCGCATCGAGCCCTACTTCGACGGGAGAGCACAAGCGGATGATCCACGTCTGGGACGTCAGGAAGGCTTTCTTCAACGCCGACCTGATGAGATGATGTACTTTCATCCTGGACGCGAGGTGTGCCTTCCTGGAAGGTGCTGGCGGCTGCTGACGGCCATGAACGGCAACAGGAAGGCATCGCAGATGTGGGGAGAGGTGGTGCGGACCACCATGGGTGACGGTCACTGGGGTTGCTTCACGGCGACACCTGACGTGTTCTACTCACCAGCGAGCTCCAACGTCCCTGCCGTCGGCGAGGACAGTGCAGCTCTCTGCCACGGAGACGACTTTCTGGCCGAAGGCTACGACGAGCAGTTGGACGAGCTGGACGAGTTGCTGAGACAGCAGTTCGAGGTCACAGCGAGTGCCAGACTGGGCCCCTGAAGACCTGAGCAGACGAACTACCTCGAGAGGGTCATCGGGTACGCCGATCCGCTGCCAGGCTCAGAGGATCCAGGTTTCTCCTGTGCAGCGGATTCCAAGCACGTGGATTTCATGATTTTGTGGACACAAAAGCGAGGGTGCAGGGCAGCTCCTACTTCAGGAACGAGAGCGACAGGACGAGGCCGACGAGACAGCTTAGACCTTTTGTCCAAGGGTAGAGCTCGGAAAGTTGCAGGTGCAGCAGGCGCGGCACACTACCTCTCGGACAGGCCCGACACGATGCACGCCAGCAAGACCGCGATGCAGCAGCACGTTTCAAGCCCCGACGCTCTGATGCATGCGCGTGTTCAGCGGCTTGGGCGGTACTGCGAAGGACGGCCTGTGTTGGTATGGTGATACCCTTTGCAAGGTACTCCTGAAGGCATTCGGGTGGACGGAGGTGCAGACTGGGCCCCATGCAAGCGATGTGCAGAGGTGATCCACGAGCGGAGGAGCAGTGCGGCATGGTGACCACACATGGGACTGCTACTCAGCGACGCAGAGCACCATAGCTCTAAGCTCAGGGGGACCCGAGATGTACGCTACAGGCAGCGCGGCTGCCAGAGGACTCCAGTGCAATGCGTACCTGATCGAGACCCAGAGGCCTTGCAACCTGAAGATCCACAGCGACAGCACCGCGGGGCGGGGCATGTGCAGCAGAGTGGGCGTGGGCAAGGTCAGGCACCTGGAGCTGATGTACTTGTGGATTCCAGAGCGGCTGTGACTGAAGGCGTTTGAGCTCGCGCTGGGGGACACCGGCGAGAGGACGGCCGACGTGCTCACCAAGTACAGCGAGTGGTCGGCGATAGAGAAGGAGTGCACCACTCTGAACCTCATGTTCCGGAAACAGTTCAAGGGCTTGTGCGCAATGGCAGTTTCCACGGGGGTCGCGACTTCTGCGTCGGGCGAGAAGGTGGCGGTGTAAGAGGAGCCAGGCCAGGCGTCGCTTTGCCCCGCACCTGTGCCCAACTACGTGGACAGCGAGGAGTTCTGGTTCATTCTGCAGGCGGATGTCCTCGCGGTGGTCGCTTTCTTTTTTTTTCCCGTTTTTTTACCCCTCTTGTTTCGGTGCTTTATTTTTTTTGTGAGGCTGCGCGCGCGGGTGCTACGCGAGGAGCCTCCTCGATAAGGGCCCCATCCAGGAGGCGGCTGACCCCGCACCTGGGGGCGCAGACCTCTACCTCGCTACGCGGACTGACTCGGAGGTCAAGACCATATGTGCGCAGGGACTTGACAAAGAGCCTTGTCCAGCACGACGCGGCGGAGGAGCGAGGCACAAGCTGTTCAACGCGTTTCTTGTAGTCGACGTGGAGCGGATCTTGAGCTTAAGGCCTGCGCGTGAGTGGCCTCGCAGGCGACCTGACCATTGGGCTGATCAAGAAGGGGAGCGTCCTATCGGATTGCCAGGGCAGGGTAATCGAGCAGCTGCGAGTGACGGCCACGGCGCACGGACCCCTCATCAGGATCAACCTTCAGGACTTGAGAAGCCCTGAGGCCGCGCAGCAGTGGACCGAGACGTTCACGAGAGAGCGCCGAGATCGCCCCGATGGCTCTCAGCTGATCCACCCAGGGAGCTAGACGGATGGTCGCAGGAACCACTGCGACAGCCGAGGTTGAGCTAACGACCAGGCTGCGGTTAGTCCCGCGCCTGCCCGCGGCGGGTAGCCCCGCGCTCGGGCTGAGGGCCTGTGGGGGGCCCCGCAAAAGAGCCGCCGAAGGCCCGCGGAAGGGGCCACAAAGTTGGCACCCTGCACGCGCTTCTCGGTTGGAGGCCGAGCCGTTTCCCTGCGCCCAAGGAGAGGTGTTGGGAACTTGTAATTTTCACTATGACCTATGGTTCTAACAACATAAAATCAGACTGTTCGGGCGAAGACCCGAAATCCTGTAACCCTTTGTTGCTCAAGAAAAAGAGCAGCCCTCCTTCCCCCCTCTCTCCGCGACGGGGGTAGGGGAGCGCGTGCGCGGGGGGTTTTACGAAACGATGCGCAGGGGCCCAGGAGGCTGGTGATGTCAGGCGCGGCTTGGGAGGGCGCGGATTTTGCCGGGCGTGGGGTCCGCGGGAGCCGATGCGCATGGGTCCAGGAGATTGGGCATGTTATGCGCGGTGGGGGGGGGCGCGCGGGCGGAGGTGCGGGGCCCTTCGGAAACGATGCCCGGGAGCCCAGGGGGCTGGGGATTCGACGGGTCGCGCGGCAGTGTCAGGAGGGGGCCCGGGGCGGATTTTGCAGGGCGGGGGGTCCTTGCGCAACGATGCGCAGGGGTCTGGGAGGCTGGGAATGTCAGGCGCGGCGCGGCCGTGGCATGGGAGGTCCCGGGATGGATTTTGTCGAGCAGGGCCCTGGGGAGGGCGCCATAAAGGGTGGGGGCCGCGATGGATTTCCCAGAGCGAGGGAGCTCGAAGACCCGATGCACAGGCGCTCCAGGAAGCTGGGGAGGTCAGGCGAGGCGTGGGGGTGGTAGGGCGGGCCCTGGATGGGGACGAGGGCAGATAGGCGCAGTGGCGGCGCGCGAGGGCAGGATAGGGCGATGGCAGGATCGGGCAGGATGGGCGCAATGTAGGCGGATGAGGGCATGATGGGCGCAACGTGGGCGGCGCAAACACGCGCTTTTCCTCGCGCGCTTCTGGGGTCGACGGATTAGGTGGCGCTCCTTGCGGGCATGGCCCACGCGGCGGGGTGCGCCGCCATGGCCGGGGGGGGGGGGCGCAGTGCGAGCCCTGCTTCGGGGGCCGTTGGCGGAGATCCCTGCGGGCCACGATCGCGATCCGTGTGCGAGGTGCGCCGAAGTTGGCGGGGTGATGGGACGCGAACCTTGTCTTTGGGGCCGTCCGTGAATGTCCTTGCGGGCCACGATCCTTGTGAGAGGTGTGCCGAAGTGAGCGGGCCGATGTTATGAAGCTTCCTTCTGGTGCCGCAGGTGCGATTAGTTGAGGGGCGCGGTCCGCGTGAGGGGCGTGCCGCTGTGCGAACCTCGTTTCGGGATGTAATTGCGCGGGTCTCCCTTGTGGCGCGATGCCTGTGACGGGCGCGCCGGCGCGGGCGGGGGGGCCGTGGGCCGTCGGCCAAGCCTGTCCGAGGGGCCGCAGGTGGAGCCCCCTGAGGTGCACGATCCCCGTGACAAGATATGTCCTCCGATGTCGAACACTTTAGACTTCAGCTGGAGCTCGCTGGAACCTAAGCGCGCGAAGCGCGCGCGTGGTTCTTGTGTGTATGTGTGTATGTATGGATGTATGCATGCATGCATGCACGCATGCAGGCATGCATGTATGTATGTATGTATGTACGTATGCATATGCACGGATGTATGTAGGAACGTTGGTAAAACATCGGGCTACCATAGCCATCATCGCAATTGCCAGTCTGAGTAATAACGCCCCCATCCCCTGCATTTGTGGGACATCCGGAAGTCTACGCGCCGTCGTTGCAATCACTGCGCTGCGTTGGGGCAGATTTCCCAGACGCCCTCGAAACAGGATCTTCTCGCGGTCGACATTTGCGCGCGCGCGTCATCCTCGATTGGCCTTCGGTCCGTCGTGCCGCCGCGTTTGGATCGTGAGCCTTTGGGACCTATGCGTGCTCTCTGGGAGGTGGTGGTGGGGGCCTCGCGGGGGTTTTTCGGGTGTCTTTTTGAAGCCTTTTGGAGGCCGTTTTGTGTTTTGTGTTTTTTTTTGGGGGGGGGGCGGGGGGGGCGGCGTCGCGCGGGTGTCTTGGGGGGCGGGGGGGGGTCCTGCGGCTTCTTGCCGTCTGGAGCATCCATAGGGGCTTCCCGCTTGCGCTGTCTCGGGCGCCTTTGGGGCCGTTTTGGGACTGTCTGGGGTCGCGTGGGGGCCCTCCCGGGGGCTATTGGGGTTTTTACGGGCCGGCCCCGGGGTCCTTTCGGCTTTCGGGCCAAGCATGTCGGAGCGTCGGTGGCTCGACGAGTGGAGGGGCCCCGAAACATTTAAACGCATATGGACAATTCAGTTTTCTGCCATTTCGGGGCCTTTCGGGGGGCCTCCCGGGGGGCCTGCCAGGGCGTCTTGGAGACTTCTTGGACGCTTTCGGGGTTATCCCGGGCACCCTGGGGCGTCTCCTGGCCGTTCTGGGTCGTCTTGAGGGCTTCTTGCAGCGCTGGCGAAGGATTAGGGGGCGCGCCCGCTCTGAGCCCGGAAGCGCGGCGGCGGATTTAATTTGGGCGGGGGGGGGGCGAAGGGCGGCCTGGGATGGCACGGGGTCAGATCGGAAAGTCGCGACGAGGCATAGTCATTTGTAAGTTCCAATGCCGCAGGGCGGGGCGGTGAGTCTGGGTTCAGAAGGGGGCGGGGTTTCTGTCGCGATGGGAGACTGCATGTGGCGTGGTCTCTGGGGCGCAAGCCATGTAGCGCAGCGTATGCGGTGCAATCCATGCGGCGTGGGCTGCGCGGTCGAAGCTATGCGGTGCAGCATTTGCGACGTGAGCTACGTTGATAAATTTACGCTATGCAACCTGCGCGAGGCAATCCGTTTTTGCCCACCGATGGGTAGCCAAGTAAATTCTTCGCGTAATCATCCCACCATTTCGCCCGCGACTTGGTTTGCTAAAGTCATGGGGCGGCTATTTCGATGATTGAGGGGCCATGGCTGGCGCATCTCTGCGGCAGCCCTTGGGCGCGCAAGTTCGCGCGCAGATCGTCCAGCTGGTTTGGCGCGGCCGATGCGACCGCGATGGTGCGTGTCGATGGGCTCCCAACGCGTCAAAAGCCGCGCTGGCGCGCGTGCGTTTCAATGTGGATCGGCGGTTCGGGCAGGCGCAGTGGCGCAATTGCGCCGACAACGACGGCAACGATGGTGATAGTAGCGACGGCAGTGGCGATGATACGACGATGGCAAGGCCAATAACGGCGCTGTTGCCAGTGGCGACGATGGCGATAGTGATGTCCATGTGTCGATGACGACATGATTGAACGATGACGGTGGCATATGCGGCGAGTGTCGATGGCGATGGTCTGATGCGGCGGCGGTGCGGGTTGTTTTGTTTGCGTTGTTGGGTGTGGTTGTTTTTCTTGAAACCCATTTGGTGACCGCGTACTCGTTTAGATTTTATTTTGATCTGATTTTGGACGGCGGTCGGCACCCGCGTGGCGGCGCGCGCGTGGCCAGCATGTTGTGTTATGCGGGGTCACGCGCTGGACGCGTGCTGGATCAACGCGGATGCATCGCGTGGTGGGGTGATCGCTCGGTTCTTGTTGGCGACATGTTGAAATCCATGTTAATGTCCGATAATTTCTGAACGTGCGCGCAAGCACATGTTTTGTCATATGCGCGGTAGCAAACGCAGGAGGATTTGCATTGTGTTGTTTCGTATCTTTGCTCAATTTGTGTATTGGCATAGTCTCGACGTGTGCGCGCGCGTCTGGACTTACGGCCGGGGGCAATAACAAGATTTCCATGGTTGTGTCAAGTCTTATGCGCAATAAGCGATTGGGCGGCACCATATGTGAATCGCAGTGCCCCAGGGGGTGCCGATACGTCCAGGGGGAGGGTGGTAGAGTCCGTTTTCTGTTCGAATATGGGAACATTTGTGGTGTGAGTTATGTGGCGTAAGTTTCGTGTTACAGGCAAGATGGTGTAATGTATCCAGTGGCGTAAATGTGGAGTGACTTGTATGCTGTGAGATATGTGGTATCAGTTGGATGGTGCGAGCGATGATCTGTGATCTATGCGGTGCAGGCTACGTGGTGCTGTGCGCCTCCGATTCTGAATGGGGACGACAACGACGACGTCGACGTTCTGGAACCGAAGGTTTCTTCCAGGGAAGGGTGTTCCCCCCTGGGGGGGGGGGGGGGTCACAGCCTTCGGGACCCCCCCCCAAGACCACACACGGAGCCTAACTTGAAGGGAGTTGTCGGTTCCAGGCAAAGGTGGGCGGGGGGAAAACGGGGGTCACCAACCTTGGGGCCTCCCAGCACCCCCCCCCCCCGAACCCCTGCCCCCCTTCCCCCATGGCGGGGTTGGGATCAAATTGAAGGTGCTGCCCTTCGATTCGATTGGGACGTCGTTCGAGTTTCCTCTGGCTGGAACGCTTAAGGAGGAGGGCCAGGGGGTGAGCGGCGACGACTACGACGACGACCCAAGCGGAAATGCATATTTTTCACGCGCCGACAGGGTCGGCGGATTTGATATGAGTTACGAGGTGTAAGCTATGTGGTGCAACTGATCTTTACCAATGATTTGACACATCCCATGCTCTTGCACACATCCCACCCACCCACCCGCAACTTGGTTTGCAAAACCTCTTAAGACCGACTACGACGACACCGACGACAACGACTACTACGACGTCTCCGACGACTTCGATAACGACAACGACGACGACGACAACGACACCGACGACGATACTGACGACGACGACGACGCCGACGCCGACGACGACGACGACGACCACGATGACAACGCCGACGACGACGACAACGACGACGCCGACGACGACGACGTCGACGACGCCGACGACGACGGCGACGACAACGCCGACGCCGACGACGACGACGATGACAACGCCGACGACG